TGCAATTTAAACTTGCTCTGTCCCTACTGCCTGGCCACCAAGGGCTGGTGGGGACACCCATGCCAAGCTGAGCTGTCCCCCTGTGTGGAGGGGCAGGGGAGGAGTGACAGCAGTGGGGTGCAAGCCCTTGAGCCAGGGCTGAGAACCTGCCTTGGTGGCAGGGCACACCCAGAGGACAAGTACAGGCAGGCAGACGCTCCTGTGCATAAAAAGCCATAAAAAGCAACTCTCACTTGGCAGAGAGTTTCGGAAGCAAAACACGTCCCACGCACCTTCCCAGCACCCCACCACACCCCCAGCACCCCTCATCCTGCAGCCACCCACCATCAGGGCATCTGAGCACTGCATTTAACACCCACAGGGCTTATTCCCAACTATGATTGTCTGCCCTCCTGGGCCTGGAGCTTGCAGCTCCAAGCAAAGTGCTCCCCAAAACTGGGCTTGAAAAAAGTGCTTGGAGATCACACCTGGGGCAGGAGTGAGGCACTGTAGCTGGCAGTACCTGGCACAGGGAGGCTGCAGGGAAAGCATCCCTTTGGTGATAGAGCTGCTCTGAGAGAAAATTTGGGCTTGCTAAGCATGAGATCTCAGGGTGGGTTTGTCCCCCATGGGGCTCAGCCCAGTGCCTTGCTGTAGCAGCTCGGGATGGACATGCTGCCAGCCCACACCACCCTCTCAGCCACCATGCCTGTTCCCACAAGCTCTTTCACCCACAGGAAACCCCAGGGTGGTGCAGAAACACCTACCACAAAGTCAGAGGAAGGCAGGAGGAGGCTGAAGCCCACCTAAGCATGCCTCCCCTGTCCTCAGCAAGGGACCAGCACTTTCAAGATGCCCAAAGCCACCCCACGTGCAGGATGAGATCCATCCCAAAGACTGAGAAGCTGCTTTTGTCTTCCAGAGAGATGCAGAGTTCTTCCCCGAGTTCTTCTGCATTCAGGAAGGCCATTGGGGTGTTTGCAAGCAGCCCACCACCACCCCAAGGTGACAATTCCCACACAGGAGTCATGAGCGGCAACAGTGCTCAGTCTCCAGTCCAGCAGCAGCACTCACACCTCCATCCAAACACCTTTATTACTTTATTTCCATCCAGTTACACACCACTGGTACAGAAAATACAAAACATCGAAAATAGGCTCTTTTGTGCTGTGTGTCCCCGTCCCCCCCATATCGCTATCCCCAAAGTGTGCTGGCTATTTACAGGCACAGGTGAATAGCTCAGTGGCAGCAGCTGCACTTGCTGCTGGCCGGCTCCTTACACACGCAGCCCTTGGCACAGTTGCTGCAGCTTGCGGGACAGCAGGCACAGCAGCCTGGGGGGAAGACAAGAGAGTTAGGGGGGGGAGGGGGGGCTGGAAAGGAACTGGGGGCCCATGGGGCAGAGGTACCTGATGGAGAAGGAAAAAAAAGCACACCCCATACATAGTATCCCAATGGCACAGCAGTTTGGGTCCTAACAGAGAAGGGGCACCCCCCAACGGGCAACAGGCGGCAGGTCTCAGGAAGAGGAAAGGATCCTCGCAAAGGTCCAATAGGACAGGGGCACCCCCATGTCAGAGCGGTGGGGTCTCCATAGGGAGCCCTACAGTGCAAAGGAGAGATTCTCTACAGGACAAGAACCCCTTGGATTCACGGGCACGCTGGGAGGTGGTGGGGGACCCGTGGGGTCCCAGCAAGGCACGGGCAGACCTCTAGGGAGAAGCTCTGTATGTCCCCCCCACTTTCCCCCTGCTGAGCCCCACACTCACTCTTGCGGCAGCTGCGGCAGCGGCAGTTCTTGCACTTGCAGGACCCGGCGCAGGAGCATGAGTCACCTGGGACGGGAGAGCGGCCGTCAGGCTCAGATGGGGCCGGGGCCGGGGCCGCGACGAGGACCCGCCGGGCACAAGACCGGGACACTTACCGGCGGCACACGTGCAGTCCTGGGGATCCATGGCTCGGTTTAGCTTGGTTGCCTTTGCTCGGTTCGGCTCGGCTGGACTCGCAGCAATACACAGCCCTGCCGGCGTTCAGTATTTATGGGGTGAAAGCATGGGGCGGTGCGCGGCGCTGCGCACGGCGGGGCGGGACCCTCATCGGGGCCTTGCAGTGCCGGGCCGGGCCGTGCTCACTATGGGGCCGTGTTCACCGTAGGGCCGTGCTCACTATGCGGCCGTGCTCACCGTGGGGCCGTGCTCACAGGGGGCGGTGTCGTGGAGCCGTGCTCACCCGGGACGGGGCCGTGCTCAGTCTGTGCCGTGTTCACCTGGGTCACGGCCCTGGCCTCCTCCATACTTCCATCCAGAGGGTCCTACCTATACCCCATTGTGCCCACCTCCCCGCAGGGTGCTGCATCCCTGAGGGCCAAGATGCCGGAAGATGCCGCGGGGGGTGGCAGCGATGGCGTAGCACTGCCCCCAACTCCTCTTGCACCTCTGGGGCATCTCCATGTGCCAGTGGTGGGGTGAACTGGGCCACCCACCTGTGAAGAGGCCCGCGGGTTGGGATAGTCTCAGCATCCAGCTGGAGGGTGGGATGGCCCCGGGGTAGAACTTGGGGTACTTGGCAGGTCCTCAGGAGAGGTATGCATGGGGGTCAGCACCTGGATGTGGTGCTGGGTCATGGCATGGGCTGCTGGGAATCCCGGCTTCCCTGCACCAGCAGTGCCCATGGGTTTTCCCTCTTGTCCCAGTGTTTATGTGCCAACTGTCTTTCACCACCAGCCAGCTTGGCACTGGGCATGGAAATGAGTGGCTGGGTCAGGGACATGCTGTCCCTGTGCCTGGTGGTGGTGTGGCAAACAGGGCAAGCCTGGGCTCAGACCTGGCACTGTGGATGGGCTCCATCCTGGTGGAGTTCAGGCCAGCAGGCCCCTGGATCAGGTGGGAACCTGTGGCCCTGGAAAGTTGTGCCAGGGAACGGCTCGTGCTCGTCATCAGAACCACAGGGTTGTTTTTTCCTGGCAGTGTTCTGTGGGCAGTGTAAATATGGGGCTAAGCCAGCAGGCACCGCGCTTGCCACTGGCTCAGCGGGAAAGGAGGAGAGGTGAGATCATGGCACGTGCAGGCTTACTGCACATAAACAGGGGTTGTGAAATCACTTCCCGGAGTCCTTCCCAGCAAGGTCTGCCCCCCCCCCCCTCCAGCGAGGACAGTCTCTGCTGCACCCTTGCTTGAAGAAATGAGAGCCCCACAGCACCCAAAATGGGGATGTGCATCCTGACATGGGGATGCACAGAAAATGGGGGGTGATTGTGCAGGGGCAAGGCTGCAGAAATGCAAGAGAATTCCCAGATTTCTGGGAATCCCACACATCACCCATTGAGGGGCTGTGCTCCCATCATTGCAAGTGGGAAGGTCCCCACAAGACCGTGTGTGTGGAGCTGGGACAGGAAAAAAGCCTGGAAAATGCCCAGTTTTCCCAATCAGGGCATTTCCACCGAATAATGAGGTCACCCTGCAGCAGGTCAGAGAAGGATAAGGCATGGGCTTGCTGGGATGCAGGGCACATGCCAGATGTCAGTGGGGAGAGGAGACCTCAAGGTCCCCCCACATCGTTGCTGGTGCTCCCATTTTCCAGGGCTGGCAGGGAGGGAGTAGTAGTTAATCCTGAGGCTGTGCCCATGAAAGAGGGATGCAAGGTCCAACCCTGATTTTATAGCAGTTGTAAAGCGAACAGAGGAACCCAAGCTTCCCCGCACAGGTCTCAGGGCTTGGACAGCATCTGATAGGTGTTCTCTATCACACTGCTGTGGGGCAAGACTGAAGCAAACTCATCCAGGACTGTGAGGCTAGAAAGATGCTGTAAACCCCACTGGTTAAACCACATGTCTGGGGATAAATCCCATTAGCAACCTCTCCTTCAGGCTTGTTGTGGGCTCACCAACTATGTTTTTGCATGGCTGGCCCTTAAATCTCTCTGGGTAGAAAAGAATAAAGAGAACCCTGTGATTTGCAGAATGGAGTTTAGTTTGGAGCTCCAGAGCTGGTGTTGCACCCTTCCTGTGACATGCCTGCCCTGTCCTACATAGCAACATGCTTCACAGCCATTGGAAGCATGGGGTGATGGTGATATCTCAAGGGACACCCTGGGGGAAGAGCCCTCCTGGAGCAAAGGAGTATCCCCAAGGACGGGCACTGCAAGCACCCAGTGTACAGGCATGCCCTTAGCTGTGACAAAACCCCACTGAGTCCTGGCAGCAGTGGCTAGATGGGTCAAAAAAGATTTTACAGCTGTAAAGAGGCTATGAAAGGCTGTGTTTGGGGAGCATGAGTACAGGCAGGGCCCCTCATGTGTCCTAGGGAGCAGCATGGTGCCACATAGTTCCTGGGGTGCAGTGTTCTGTTGTGAGCAGAGCAAACATCACACCCCAACATGAGCATCTGAACTCACTGTGGACTCACTCTGGCATGGGCATTGCAACCATCACAGACATTGCACCTTGGTGTGGGCATCCCACTCCAGCATGGACATCATAACCCCTGACAGGTATTGTCCCCCATCATGGGCACAGCATCCTATTGCAGGCATTGCACCACATTGTGGGTATCCAGCTCCCTGCAGAAGCACCCTGCCAAGCTGGCAGAGGGATGAGCAGTGTAATTCTTCCCAGCCAGTTCAACAAAAGTGCTGCGAGGAAAAGCTAAACCTGTTTCTCCACCACCCCACCCATCATGGAAACATTACCCCTGGAAACAGGCAGTGCTGCACCAGTTATTACATTGTCAATGAAGGCTCGTGCTGACGAGCTGCTCACTAGCCCTGAGGATTTCTGGTGAAGGAGAAAGCATGGGATTTGCCTTTGGGCAACAACAGGGTGGGGAAAAAAAAAAAAAACCAACTATGAATTACCTTGTTGTGCAAGGAAAATGTCAGAGCTGCTGGTAGGGAGGGCAGAGCCGAGATTAGAAGAAAGCAGAAAGAACACACAAGCTGTTTGCCATGACTACCCAAAACCAGTGCTCTCCTGCTCTCCAGAGACAGCCCCCCCCCCCCCCCGTCCAGCAGAAGTGCCAGCTTCCTTATAGACCTTTATATACATATTACTTTATTTAGGTAGCTTATTACACATCACAGTGACAAACACTAAAGGTATCTGAACACACGTATAAAAAAAACCCCAACATACACAATAAGGTTATTGTTCTTCATCCCCTCTGATGCACAGCACCCCCAGATGTGCAGCTGGGGGTCCTCATTTGCAGCAGCTGCACTTGGCGGAGGGTGGCCCCTTGCAGACGCAGCCCTGTGCACACTTGGCACATCCTGCCGGGCAGCAGGAGCAGCAGCCTGTGGAGAGGGAGAAGAATGAGTCAGGGGGGCCTCAGGGCGAGATCTAGGGAGGTCCCGTGGGGGGTGGCTGGTCTGGAGACCTCGCACCAAACCTTGTGCACTCCCCTTTTAGCAGCATCCCCATCCTGGCAATGTCTCCCGGGGTAGTTTTGCACCAGGGCCCATCAGCCCCTCACCGAGCAGCACCTCCCCACCCCCACCCCGGCTGTGCCCGGGGGTGCCAGCGTCAGGAGCAGCCAGAAGAAATCCCAATGCTGGTTTCTTCCCGGGTCATCCACTTGTGCTGAGCCTGAGCTGCCAGCAAGGGGTATACCAACTTGTGGGTTACACTGGGTAGCTGGTATTGCCTGGTGGCAGGTGGATTGCACCCTGTGCTCCTCCAGGGGCAAGAATGTACACGAGGAATAAACTCCACCCTAGCAATCTGAGTCTGATTGGATTCAGTGTGTCCCAGAATGTTTAGTGAAACCCTCCATGAATGTTTCTCCCCGGCTTGTGGCTCAGGGACCCCCTCCTACCTTTTTTGCAGGATGTGCATTTGCAGTTTTTACATTTGCAGTTGTCCCCACAGGTGCAGGTGCCCCCTAGAACACGGAGAAAAAGGGGAAAAAGGTTGAGAAGCTGTGGTGGGAAGGGAGCCCCACAACCCCATGGCTCAGCATGGATGCTCCGGCCGAGGGATGCAGGGGGAACATTGGTGTCTCTCTGGAGAGGTCACAGCGTTCCCAGTGACATGCTCCAGGTGTGACACTGCAGTGCTGGGAAAGGATTTCAGCAGGCAGCCCAGCCAGGATGAGAGCGATGAGGATGTAGGAGGAGGCTGGAGCATCAGCGGTCCCCCAGGGATGCTCTGGCAGCTCGATGCAGAGGGAAGCGCTGGCTTACCAGTGGCACAAGGGCAGTCTTGGGAGTCCATGTCCGCCTGGGCTGGGTGTCGGGAGACGCTGGGCAACGTGAAGAGCCGCTTTAGCGGAACTCTCCGCCGCCTCTTATTTATCCGTGGCCGGTGAGAGCGAGTGCAAAACCTCCGCCCCTCGCAGCCTGCACACGGCTCAGCCCGCGCCTGCCCCGGGCGCTGCTGATTCACTCCCCGGGCAGCACCTGCGGCTCCCATGTGTCCCCTCCCCGGCGTGGTGGGGACAGCAGGGAGGGATGTCTGGGACCACCAAGATGTTGGGGTGTGCGCGTGTGCGCGTGTGTGTGTGCGCGTGTGCGCGTGTGCGCGTGTGCGTGTGTGTGTGCATGCAGAGAACAGCCAGCTCTCATCACACCGATGGCACCCACCTTGGGAGTGCTGCTTCTCTCCCATGGGCTGGTGGATTCACTCAAGGTTGACCCCCCCCAGCCCCGCCTTTTGCCTAAACCAGTCTGCCAAACCCCCAGATGTCTCAGGAGGTGCTTTGATCATGGGGCAGTCACCACTGCTCTTTGTCCCTTCCTCACAGTGAGGAGATGGGGAGCTGGTACAGTGGAGTGACAGGGATGTGGTCCCTACCCCAGACCCCATCTGATGGCTCTGACATCCTTCCCAGGAGCGGGACCAGGAACAAGCTGGACTGGCTCAGCCGGAGCCTCCATGCCCTCCCAGCGCCTCGGGATGGCAGCACCCACGTCCCCTCTGCGCCGTGCTTGCCACCTTGGGGCCCTGTCTCCTTCCCAGCTGCAGTGCTCCATCCCACTTGTCTGGGTTAATTTCTGTGCTCCATTAGCCGGGTGTGCAGGGAAGACAGTGGTAGGTAAGCTGCCATCATCCTGGTCAACTCCTCCAGCGGGTTTTACCCACCCACTCTAAAGAGCAGTGAGGCTTTGGGGTGGAAAGTGCAAAAAAAAAATGATGCTTCCCAAGATTTTTGGTGCAACGAAGACCTGTCCCATGGCCAGGAGCATTGCCAGCCCTGGAGCATCCTTCCTTCTCACCCCTGGGGTTTTTGTGTCTCGGTGGTACCCCATCCTGGCTGCCCCAGGCTCTGAAACTGCTTTGCTTTTGGGGTTTTATCTCTCCTGGGTTGCTGCCCACAGTGCTTGGCTAAAGTGGTTTGTTGGAGGTGATGCTAATCCAGCAGAAACAGAGGGCCAGGGAGTATTTTTACCACCCAGCTGTCTGGGCATGTCTGGAGCTTGTTGGGTGACCTGGTGCGGAGCAGTGCCAGCGCTCCGACTCAGCGTCTCTTCCAGCCCTGCCAGGCCAGGGTGGGAAATTGGTGTGTAAAAGCCCGAGGAAGGCAGAGCTGATAGGCCCCTTCCTTTGCCACCTCCACCTCGGCAGCAGCTCCTCAGTGCCCTGGCATGCCAGCCCTGCAGTCATGCTGCTGCTGATGCATTAGGGCGTGATGGCAGGGGACGGTGCCAGGGATCAGGTGAGTGCCAAGGGTGTCAGTTGCTCCCGTGGGAGCAAGGAAACACAAAAGTGCCAGGAAACATGTGCAAGTGGCCACATACTCTCCTCGGCTATGGCCCCCTGCACTACAGGGGTCACAGCAGAGGTGGGACTCCTCCTTGGGGTCCTGCATGTGCTCTGCTCCTGAAATAGCCACCTGAGCACTCCCACAGTGTGGAAGTGCTTCCATTTGAGTCATGATGGATGCAAGGAGAGCACCAATGCCACTGCAGTGTCTGCTGTGTCCTCCCACATCACCTGGCACCCTTGGCCACACAGCAAAGCCATGGTGCTGGCAGACTGCCCTGTCCCTGGCTGCTGGTGGTTCAGGGGTGTGGGGACGGATGGCCCCTTCACAGTGGTCCTCCTCCAGAACAATGTCAGCTGCACTGTGCAATCTCTGCACTAAAGGATGAGGTGGAAAAAAAGCTTTCCATCACCTACTCTCAGCTCAGGGCCCTTTTTCCCTTCTTTCCTTCCTACCTTTGCACACTATCTCCCCAATAATGCAGGGCTTGGAGTCAGGGCTCTGGGAGGTCATGTACTGCTCCTGGTCCATTCTGTAATTATTCTGGGACAGGGCTGGTTGTGAATTGGACACATGTCAGCTGGGCCATTTCTGGGAGCAGCTGGTAATTGGGGTGATGTGCTGCAGAGCTGGGACCCCGAGGAGACCTTCCCACTGCTTAAAAATCCCCAGTTACAAGGCCCTGCAAGCCCCAGTTCACCTTCTGGCCCCTGTTGTCCATTTGCTGGGCGAGCATGTGAGTTCCTCATCATTTACTATTCACATACATTCATTATTCATGTATGAGGGTGGTGAGGCCCTGTCACAGGTTGCCCAGAGAAGCTGTGGCTGCTCCATCCCTGGCAGTGTTCAAGACCAGGTTGGATGGGGCTTGGAGCAACCTGGTCTAACGGAAGATGTCCCTGCCCATGGCAGGGGTTTGGAACTGGACGAGCTTTAAGGTCCCTTCAACCCAAACCGTTATGTAATTCTATGATTTAAATAAGCTTGATGCTGCTCCCCACAAACAGGTGCCCTGTGCAGCAGTTACCTGCCAGCTTTTGCCATGCTGGAGCCATATGCCTTGGCTGCTATGTTCCCCTGTGTGGGATTCCTGGCTCTGTCCCCCAGCACATCCATGGCATCACCCCAAGACTGCCAGGCAAAGTAAGTGGGGTGAGTCAGCAGGATGCTCCAGTGCTCGAGGCAGAGCCGGATATGATGCTTGCTGGTGGGATGATGATGGCTGAGCTAGGGTGATGGCTCTGCAGGGCATGGCAAGGACAGGGCTCCCCAGAAAGGAGTGAAGGAGCCTGGTAGCCTTCAGGAAGATGCATTGGAAGTACCTATCCCTGTGACAGGCACTTGCAACACCTGGGGAGCCTAGATCCAACTGGTGAAAGGATGGTGCTGGGGCTGGTGCCAGTGACTGGCAATGACTCAAGGCTGGTGCCACACAGGTGAGGAGAAAGGCTCTTGAGGAAGTGACCTGGCACAGGTCTGCCCTGACTCCTTGCTGAAGGATGTGCAGCTCCAGTCACCCATAATCATACAGGGGCACGTGATGAACCTGTTTCTGCCTCTGTTTGCCCATGATTTTCTGCAGCCACTGCATCACATTGCCTTCAAGGGAACCTGCTGACAACTACAGGTCCTGCTTTCCCCTCTCTGAGGGGTGATGGGCACGTGTCTTCCCAAAACACCTGCTCCAGGCTCATCATTCCCTCCTGAGCAGTGCTGGGTTTGGTGACCTGTCTTTTGCTTGGATACAACATCCCCTGCAGTTGTGTGGTAACACATCATGGCTCCGGTGGATATGGACCATGGGCAGGTCCGCTTCATAGCCAGGCAGCTATGAAATGAGGGTGGGCACAGCATGGAGACCCCAGGGTGCAGTCCCTGGGGGTACACTGCCCCTCATGTTGCCTGCTGTTTGCTGGGAAGGGTGCTGATGCCTCTAGCACCCAGCAAACACCCAGCACCCCAGATGCTAAAAGCCAGCAGTAAGCCACAGAAGCGATCAGTGCTTAGAAAGCAGCTTGGCTTTGATGGGTATCTTGGGTTGTTATTTGCTGATGATAAACAAGTGTTTAAAACACAGGAAATAGGTGCTGATGTCATTTTGTCAGTGCTTGCCAGACCTTTGGCAGAGGAGGAAGGGTGTGAATCAGTCATCACCTCCCCTGGAAAGCCATTCCCAAATGCTCCGCGTGTACATAGGCAAAGCCTTGGAACTCATTTGAGAGTAAAACCGGATTGGTGAGGTGACATCACGCTGTGGAGGCTTCTTTCCTTTTTTTTTTCCCAGAAAACAGTGAGCAGAGACTTGTTCTGGTCTCAGTGGCAGACATGAGCTAAGCCCATCGTCTGCTTTCCCTCCTCTCTCCTTCCCCGCTGCCTGCTTTCCTGCCAAACCCCTGCACCTCCATTGCAGTGTTGGGAAAATACATGCCAGCTGGTGCTTCTCCAGATTCTCAGCCATCAGCAAATACATGGTGTGTCTCCATTAATCTGGGTGAATGCCCTCCATGGTAGGCTTTGGTGTCCCACCATCATATCGGTAGCAATAGAAACACACCTCCAGCCAGGGCTTGCTGGCAGCAGGAAGGGATGAGATTTTCATTAAACAGGAGCTGCACTGTGTGCAATCCTACAATGCTTTCACAACCCTTCAGCATGCTTTGATGTGGGCTGTTTGGGAGCCACCTTGTAACCCAGCTGGCTGCACTAGGACTGGGACTCACAGATCTAGGTTTCTGAGCTGGGCTCAGCACCAGCGCAACCTATGGCTCCAGGCAAAGGCTTGATATCTATTTCTGATTTGGAAATAAGCTACCAATAGCACCTTCCCTTTGAAAAAAAAAAGAGCATGGAGAGGGTGGTGACTTGGTAAAGGGAAAGGAAGAAATGCTGAGCCAAAGGTCTGCAATTGGGTCCAGGAGTGTGAGCCTGACCCCACAAGCTTACCCTGGTTTTGTGGTGTGCATCCTGAGGGACCCCAGCACAAGGCAGGAGCTCCTGCTCGGTGGTACAGGGTTTGGGGGCTGGGCAATGTGCGTTCAGGCATGCCTGGAAGATGAAAGGGCTGATTCTTCTTTTGATCATGAAATTCTCATTAATGTTAATGGGAATTACTTCAAGGTCTAACGAGGGCAGAATTGCAGCCCCCAAGGGGAAGAAGGGGGTGAGGACCAACCAAGCTTTTGCTGGGAAATAAAAGGGCTTCAATTTACCTTGTCCCTCGCCTGTGAGAGAAGAGCATTGGTGGCCAGGGGCTGCCCAGCATCCCTGCAAACCCTCCTGGAGAAAGGGGGGTCCTCAGGTGTCCCCCACCTTGCTCAGCACTGCTGGCACCAGCACAGACAGGATTTAAGCATCACCTTAATTCTAGGCATCATTTTAACTCACAAATCTAATGCTTTCCCACTCTACAATTTGGATTTTCTTCTCTTTGTTTTTCTTCCCTCCCCCTCCCATCTTCCCTTCGCTTTTGTGTCTTTCAGGTTCCCACAGACTTCAAACTCACCTGCTCCAACTACATGCCGCCTCCCCAGCTGAAACGTGACCTGAAGTTTCCAAGTATCATTACCTTGGGCATATTTAATTATTTTATTCCCATTTAGTTGCTAATTAGAAGCGAAGAGTAGAGGGGATGAGTAATCCCCGGGGATGTTGAGCAGCCACTTGCCTGAGCTTGCAAAGAAAACACCAACCACCTTAGTATAAAGGCGTGAAATACAAGGATGTGGTATTTTCCTTCATGTCTTCATAGCCTTGCTCTTGAGATCCAGAGACTGTGGTTGTCTGTCCAGGGAATGATTCATGCAGCAGCTCTTCCCATCCCTTTGGAAGGCATCTCCTATCCTAGGGATGTTCATGGAATGGGGGGAGAAATGCTGCTCTGGCTTAGGCAGCAAACGTGGGATGGGAAAAGAGAAAAGCCCCTGCAGATAGCAAAGCTGGTTTGCTGCTGCTCAGATGGGCTCAGTCTTCATTTTCAGAAGTATTTCGGTGTGCAGATGCAATTTCTCATCCCTCCCTGCTCCTCCCAACCATATTATCCCCTCCTGGGGGGCTGGTGATGGTTATTTTTGCCAACATTTTCCCAAACTCTGAGCTCTGCTCAGCACTCCCCTGCCAGGCAGATAAAGGCACAACGAATTTTTTGTTAGATTGGAAGTCTTTCAGCTACTGGGTGTTCTGCTGTCATGGGCAGAGTCTCTGTGCAACTTGCCTAGAGAGCCAGCAACCATTACCACGAATGTTTGATTATACTGATATAATTTATTGTATGATATGATATGATATGATATATAGAAAGTTCTATTCACCCAGAAACTAGAAAAGAGCAAATAGTGGTTATAGGGCATTGCCTTGGGACTATGCAGGAAAGAGGATGGTGATAACCCCATGCTGGACGTTAATACCCTTGCTCTGTAAAGAAGCTGAATAACTCCTTGAGTACAGCCACACTAACTCTGGCTGTGCAGCAGTGATTCTCAGGGGCTCAGTGAGGATTCTGTGGGATTTCCCCCCTACAAAACTGGGGAAAGGGAAGGACTCCTGTCCTGAGTACTGCTGGATGGCTATGGGGTGGTTGCTGAAGCACAGACTGGATGCTCTACATATAAAATAGATGACAGACCTTTCAAATGAAGGAAAGTGAATATTAAAAGCCATCATTTTCTGGATTTCAGTGTTCAGTGTTTCAGAGCCAGCAAATTCAAAGTGGCAGCTGTAAGAGGCAGCATAATTTTACTATACTGCAGATGCACCAAATCCAATACCATAATTAGACATACAAAATAATATTTACAGCCTAGACTATACATATTTAGTGAGAAGCTGGAATTTTCATCCATTTACAATTTTACCAGCCTATAGAGGTCTCTGACCTCAGTTTTAGCCCCTGTTTGCTTGGTTGGGATTGCAATCCAGCTGGAGATACTTCCTGGGAGGGCAGTAGCGTTTGCTGGGCTTGAGCAACACCAAGTGTGTGTGCCTGAGTTCATCCCGCTGCGTTGCCTTTGTGCTCCAGTACCCAAACTGGCACCCAGTGGGGGAGACCCATGGTGAGGCTGCACTGAGACCTGTGCTCACCCAAAACAGGTCCACAAAGAGGGAAAATACCCTCCTCTTTAATATGCCAGAAGTGATTGCTGCCTTGTTCTCCACAAGCATAATGGCACATTGATAGAGCTGCCAGGAAAAGCTGGTAAAAAAATAAAAAAGAAGAAGAAAAAGACGGTTGTCACATTTGGAGTCTCATGATCTCCACGCAAGCGCTGTCTGTGAGAGCCTTCCTTCATATGCAGGGCAGGAACACTGCTGCTGGCCAGGGCTTGGCTGATGCACAAGTAAAAGCCAAATGGGATGTGCCTGCCAGGTTTCCTAGAAACAAATGAATCCTTGCCTCAAGCCTGTGGCCTCTGCAGGAAAGGGCTGTTGTCCCAGCACATCCTTCTCCAGACCTGCCTCTTGTTGGGATGGGGGTGATAATGTGCCAGTGAATGGCAAGTGCTGGATTTGGTAACTGGTCAGAGACTGCAGAGAATTTATGGCACTTGTGATGTTATTGGGTTAAAATTATTTCTCAAACCCAAAATAATTTAAGAATTTTGAAAATCATGACCTTGAGAGAGCACTTCGCTATCCAGCCTGTGGACAGGTAGAGGGGGCCCTGGAAACCCTTAAGGGATCTCGGTACTGAAATCCATGCTGGGATGGGAACTGACACTGGGTTTGGTTATACTGGCTTGCTCCTCCTCGGTTCGAGGAGGAACCAAGCACCGGGCTACTAATGGAGGTGTGAACAATGGGGAGTGCAGCAGCCGGGGGGCAGCGAGGGCTGGGCAGGGGGCTGGGGACAGGGAGGGGACATCCCATGGCCCCAGCTGGGTGCTGCCCCCCTGGGATTGTGGTGCTGGTGTTGAGGCTGCTGTGATTGCCCAGAGGGCAATCGCCTCTGCCCTCCTGTACCCAGGTTCCCCACTTCCCCTGCGATGCCCCCCAGCTTCCCTGACCTCTGCAACTGCCCCCCCCCCCCCGTTTTACACCTCCAGCACCTCCATCTGCCCCACATCTTCCCCATTTCCCCCCCTTCTGCCCCTATCTGCCCCACGTCTTCCCCACCTGCCCCCTGCATCCATAACTGCTCTCAGTCCCACCCCAACTTCCCTAGTTCCCCCGCAACCTCCCTCCCTGTACCCCAACCGGCCCCCCCCGCGGCCGCCCCGCCTGACACCGCACGCCCAGCCCCGCCCCGCCCCTCCCCGCCCCGCTCGGCGCGGCCCCGCCCTGATGCAGCGGCGCCTTGGGCTTGCGTACGGTGCGCGGCCCCGGAGCATCCGGCACCTGGCGGTGGGGCCTGGTGAGGCCCGGTAAGGCCTGGCCGTCCCTGCATAGCCCGCCTGGCCCCGCCATGCTGGTGCCCGTGTTCTCGCTGAAGCTCAGCCACAAGATCCTGCCCCGCATGGTGGCGCTGGGCCGGTACGATGGGACGCACCCCTGCCTGGCGGCCGCCACGCAAGCGGGCAAGGTAATGGCGCAGCCTCCCGGGCTGGGGGCTCCCCGGCCCCGCTGAGCTGAGGGAACCGGCTCTGCTTGGGGGTTGCTCGGCCGCGGGGTCCCTCCGCACGGCGCCCGTAGCGGGCCTGCGGGCCGCGGCAGAGACCCGCGTTGAGGCCTGCAGCCTCCCGCGTGGAGCCGGCTCGGCGGTGTCCCGCTTCCCTCGCTGTCCGCTGGGCTGGGGCTGCCCATAGGCAGCGGGGCGGCGGCAGCAGCTCATAGCGGTAACCCAGGCTGCTGGGGCATGTTTTGGAGTCGTGGGTTTAAGGCCTGGTGCGAAGGTTCTGCAGATGATGCCTTGCCGAGCAGGAAACGCTGTGTGCGCTCTGTTTGGGTTTGAGATGTAAACAGCAGAGGGTTCATCTTAGTGCAGCCCAACTAAAAACAAACATAGGTTGAAGCATAAATCTACAGTGGCATTTGGGTTGCTGTAAATACAGACATGGGTCATCTGGGATGCTTCCTGGCATTATTACTAATTTTATTTTGGAGCCTTTAGGAATGGTGTAAATGAGGGCTTGTTTGAGAGTTGGACTGTGCAGCCACAAAGCAAAGGCTGTTAGGCATATCCTGCAATCCCCTGAGTCTGCTCCAAACAATTACGGTGACTGAATGTTAGTGAGAACAAAAACTTACATATCACAGGCCCGTCTTTAAATTAACCATCTTCACCAAGAGATGGAGGTTAGCGATACCAGGTAATTTGTCCTAAGTGTTTGGGGTTTTGGGGAACTTTGTTAAGAGCTGGCTGTAATTTGCTCAGGTTGTTGTTGATCCTTTTAGTTTTGCCTTCCTCTGAAGAGTTCTCGGTGGCCACTTCCAGAAGCATAAGTATGGTGGCACAACCCCTCTGGCCAGAGGAACGTTTTTCTTGCCATTTCCCTTTTTTTTGGCATAGTTTAAAATGAAAGTATAGCTGTCAGAAACAGTATTGTCAGCAATCCCCCCATTCTTTTGTCCTCGCTTTGACTTGTTGAGTGCCCTTCCTCCCCATCACAGTTATTACCCAGACAGTAGTCTTTACTGTTTGTACACAAACACATATATGCTTTGTGATAATATCTTTTTATCTTTGTTACTACAGGTTTTTATTCATAATCCTCATGCCCGTGGGCAGAGAACAAGCACAAACCGAATGGTGCAAAGTAATCAAGACTCTGACATTTCCCTTCTCAACATTAATCAAGCAATCAGTTGTCTTGCTTCAGGAGTGCTGAACCCTCAGCTTGGTTATGATTGTCTTCTGGTTGGAACACAGACTAATTTGTTGGCTTATGATGTGTATAACAACTCAGATTTGTTTTACAGAGAGGCAAGTTAATTTAAATGTCTGTTTTTTCTTTTCTTTCCATTCTAACAATGACAGTTTTTACATTACTTTGTCAATGATTTTTTGTTGCTCAAATGCTTCATCACTGGCAGTGTTCAAGGCCAGGTTGGACAGAGCCCTGGGCAACGTCATCTGGTGTCCCTGCCCATGGCAGAGGGGTTGGAATTGGATGATCTTAAGGTCCTTTCCAACCCAAACCATTCTGTGATTCTAATTACGCTTGTGTTCTTTACATTAATTATATACTTGGTCTAGTGGAAGGTGTCTCTGCCCGTGGTGGGGGGTTTGGAACTAGATGAACTTTAAAGTTCCTTCCAACCCAAACCAGCCTGGGATTCAGCACACTTTGCTTTAGAATACCTGGAATATTTAAAAAGTATGAATGTGATACATGTCTTTGTATGCACATGCAAGAACAAGCTTCCATAACGTGTCACACGTCACCTGGCAAGGCAAAATTCAGAAAATCTAGAACTCAGACTGATAGTGGTGACGTTTTGATTTCTGTACTCTGATGTCTCATTGTCTGCTGTTTCTTTTTCCTTTGTTGTATATCTTTAGGTTTCAGATGGAGCCAATGCAATAGTCCTTGGGAAGCTGGGAGATATTTCTTCTCCAGTTGCTATTATTGGTGGAAACTGTGCCCTGCAGGGCTTTGATTATGAAGGAAACGACCTTTTTTGGACAGTAAGGTTGCATATAATGCTTTTGATGCTATTACAAGATTCTTTCAATGGCACTAATTCCTCTTGAATTTTTTATTATGATAAATATTAATTTGGCTGTTCATCTTTCTTAATTTATCTTAGACCTTAAACTGTGTTTTGGTCATGTATTCAGTGCACTCAGGTGTTGCTTGAATGTTGGCTATGTCAATTGTTCTGTTGTTTTTGAGATCATGAAATTAGTTTAGCTTCTGACAGTGATCATCAATATCAAGGACCGTCTTTCTCGTTTTAGGTTACTGGAGACAATGTTCGTTCATTAGCACTGTGTGATTTTGATGGTGATGGCAAAACTGAGGTTTGTAGCGATTTATGTGTGTTTTCTGCTGTTTTCATGGTCTTGTAGGGAAATGATAATAAGAAACCATGTGTTATCAAATATGACTGACTTATATTACTAGTTGAAGTGGAGTTATGCCTTCTTCAGCCTCTGGTCCAGCGAAGACAAATGCTCAGCCCATGTCTCAGGAGCAGCAGTGGTCTCTGGCACTATTCAGGATGTGTAAAACTAGGCATAGCTGGGGTCTTTACAGCATTACAGCCTTGCTTTGGTGAATTGGTTGCTAGCTTTAATGGAAAAGTTCTCTCATTTTCCTTAACTACACCAGGAGAAATACACTGAAATGCCCGTGATCATAAATTGCAAGGCATCTGTTTTCAGTGGTATTTCTTGAATGTGGTTCTAAATCCTTTTTCAAGTTTCAGATAAAAAACTAGCGAGCATCTTATGTGTAAAAATGAGCTTGTAAAAATCTGTTCTGCGAAGAGCTTCCTTATGATTGTTAAGATTAAGAAATCCATCTTCACATCCAGTTCTCCCTTTTCTTCATAGTGACATGGCTAAATGAAATAATATTTGCTTTTTTGATTTAAAATAAAAATAATGTGTAACAGGCATCTTCCTTGTAAGTAGGAAAGAGCTGCCATTCTGATAACGTAGGCTGCAAGGGATGATAGATGAAGTTGTGAATTTGTATGGCATTCTTCGTTGTAAATGTTCTTTCATCCTGAGTGAATCAAAGAATCATGCTTATAAATCTTCAAGGAAATCGATGGCTTCCTAGTATATACGTCAGATACAAGTAAATATGATGTTAAATCACCATGTTAAAAATACTAAAATACTTGTCACCTGTCTTGCAATTTTAATCATAATTACTTAAGCTTTTCAGTTTAGTTCCCCCAGAATCCTAATTTTGAATGTCTACTTGGACTGTGGTATTTATAGTGACATGTAAAGGGCCTCTACGTCTCTTATGTGTTACTCTTATGTGTTACTTATGTGTGTTTGCTTGACTGGGGTCTTCCAGAAGTGAGACAAAATTCAGGTTATCCATTCTTTTCTTGCACAGCTTCCCCTAGGGTGTTTTTTTTTTCCTGTGTGCTGAGAGGTAGTTATAGAAAGTAGAGATAGTGTATGAAGATTCAGAAACTGGGAAACTGATCTGTGGCACTAATTGTAGATGTTTTTCACTTGTGCTTCTAAATTGTTTTATTTTTGATACTTTGCTTTTTTTTTCTCCTTGAGAAAAATTCATTCTCAGTGGGTGGTATAATGTGATTCTGCTTTGAGTTAAGCAGAGTTGGGTGTGTTATCCAGCTACTTACCGTGCCAGTTAGCCCAGCGTGCATTTGCTGATATTTTTTTAGGGTTCTTTTAATTATTTAGGGTTTTTTTTTTTTTTGTCTTATTTGTGGCATTTGTGAAACTGCCTCTGGATTAAAATTGGAATTCTAGGGAAATACACAGAAATATCTTGTTAAATTGTTTATCAGTTTGTGTCTTGTCTGATAAATGGGTGTGCTAGCTTAATTTGTTCTTCCCATCCCCATAAAACATGTCTTCATTTAAAATTGACTGATTTTAAAACTGCATGAATATACTTCTGTCATTTAGTAGTGAACAAAAACAATTTACTGTAGTCACTTTCTTCCTTGGGTTTTTAGAGTGATACAGATTAATTCTTCTGATCTTGCTCAACATTTTTTAGGGAAGAACTTTTTCCCTGCTTTTTCAAATTCCAGTCTAGTGGCATCAAAGGCACTGAGGTGGACAAGTTGAATCAAACTAAATTAAACTCCCATCTTCTATTCACCTCTGGGAAATGCAGCATCACTGGTAACTGTTCCAGGATTCCATGTTTTAGCTGGTCACTTTTTGCTGGTGATTGCAACTGATCAAGAAATCTCTACCTCTTACATTTATTATTTGTTGTAAATGATTTCAATAGCTACAGTAACCTTAGCTTGGTGTAATTTAATTTGTCATGGTTGGAAGCATCTTTACTTGGAAGGAAAAAAAGAGCAGCATTTAATCTTTTTTTTAAAAAAAACACATGTCCTATTTGTATAATCATTCACACTGAGTTAAAGCCCATTTTACCCATGATTTCAGTAGTGCAGCCACCATTTTGGTTGGAGGAGCAGCAGTGGTTTGATACTTGGATTCATTAGTTTTGAGGATTTTTTAAAATGAGGTATGTTCAGTGCTAATCAATGATTTTGATATTTTTTTCCCCAGCTGTTTGCTCACAGGCTAGTAACTGGGAGTTGCTGTTTCTCTGAAATAGTGTAGTACAAGTCAGAATTGAGCCGCAGGTCTTCTGCTCCAACAACAGGCAGCATAGTATTTTTGATGTGTACAGTTGCAGTTAGGAATTGGAAGACTCAATCTTTTACAGCGAGAAAAGAGTATAGCCCTAGTGTTCCTAAATATATTTTCTCATTTTTACCCAAGATATTCCACTGTGCTTTTGTAGAGTCTAACTTGACAAAACGAGGAATAACACTTGATCAACAGGAGGCTTCTGAAATGGTGTCTTGGCACAGGGTGCCTTTTGTTCCACTGGCAACTTTTCACAGAGCTGTTGAAACTTCTCTGTTGCTGTAATTGGGATATTTATTTCCTCCTTGGGCACTTAAATCCTTTTGATTTCCTTAGGTCGAAGAACTATTCTTAAGGTAGACTATTTTCTTCTAGCTTCTTGTTGGCTCTGAAGATTTTGACATCCGGGTGTTCAAACAAGATGAGATCGTGGCAGAAATGTCAGAGACGGAGGTAAATTGCTTCTCGCTAGTGTTTGTTATAATTGCTGGTGAAGCTGATACTGGTTGGTGGTATGGTGAAGCTTCTCTGGTTCAGATTTATTGTGAAGTTAGTTATTTAACCATATGGTACAATATCTATTCTGCTAGAACTGCAGAAGTTTAGAGTTTGATAATAACTTTCATTATGCATGTTTTTTTTGTTGATTTTTTTTTTCTGTTTTTTTTTCTTTGTTTATTTACGAGCCTTTCACCAAGTTGAGAAAAGTAACTGCTGTTCGACTAAAAGTCAAGGCCCTGTTGCAAGGTTATTAAGGTTACTGGGTTGTGAATCTCTTAGTGCCTTCTGAGCAAAAGAATGTCTTCTGCAGGTTTCCTCAAATGCATTGACACAATCACAGTGAAGTAACTTGCCCCTGTGTATATCCAGATAAGTGAATGGCAGGGTAGAAAGGGGTGCCCAGGCAAACAGGGCTGCAGTTCCTAAAGGAAAGAATGGGGTAGAACGTGTGGGTTTACAGAGAGATGAGTAAAAGGTGTAGAAGTTGCTTTATAACCAAGAGAAGATCCTCACTGTTAAATTTTGGTTGCTTGGAAGGGAGTAAAGTACTGTTACTGTTGCCTTTAAGAGTTTGCTTAGTCTTTTTGTGCCCTTCTGGGCTCAGGGTAGAGTAAGGACATGTTACAGACGTTTGTCCTTAAAGATCTGAGGTCTCCCTGTTGCTCAAGTTGGGACTAAAAAGCTTAGTTATCTATTAAACCACTTAAGAAGCGCTATAAAAGACAAATCCGTGCAGTGTTCTAAGAAAGGAAGTTGTTGCTGTAGTTGGAATTAGTAATACATTGTAAAACACATTAGGCCTGTAATACATTCTGCTGTCCGTACAGTGGAGTCACGGTGTGATTTCTAGTTAAAGGGAAGTTAAAGGTCTGTCCTTGTCGTGTATGATTTGTTTCCAAATCCACAGTAGAATGGTTTTAAATTCACACCTACAGTGTCTTAGGGGGCCTGTCAGAGTCCTACTGTCCTAATTTAAAAGGACACAGCTGCACCTAAACCTTTCCTTTGAGGAAGGTAAATTCAGGGAACAGTGGCTTTATACACTGCTTGTTTTGGAAGGCTTGAATAGTTTGCATTTCCTTTGGTTTAATAACTTACTCTGATGAAACTAAAGCCATAGACTGTTGTGATTATTGAATTTATAAATGGACGGTCAGATATAAAGGGAGTATTGTGAGTTTCTGACTGTTGCTGGGGTCTTCTGTCTTTACTGGATGCTGAAAATGTAGAGGGTTATGATACTTGGGAAAGGCTTTATAGAAGATGGTGAGAGGGGATGTAGAGGTTTGGAAACCATGTTTTATAGTAAGAAAACTAAGGAGCATAGTCAGTTGAGTTTAATTAAGAAGTTGGTGAAGCTTTTAATTTAAAGAAATGTCCTGTACTATGTTGTACAAAAGACCTGACAGATAATTGCAATTGTTCTTCCTTACATTAAAATCTCTAGTCTTAGTGCATGGAAAAACCTGCATTTCCAAGCACTGAGAGTCTTAGCTCAATGAAGAATCGTAAGGTGATGGGATCTTAACTCAGCCTGTGAGATGCAGGCTGAGTTATGACTCTCAGGTCTTTCCCTGGAGCTGTTACTTAGGTAGTACTTAGCCTGGTGTTCTAATTGCGTTCCAGGGAAGCCTGGCTGTGCATTTCCAGCTCGCTAATCCTGAGCAAAGATTTTCTACCAATGCTGTAGGGAGCCTACAAGGATGCTGAAGCGGGACTCTTCGTTAGAGACTGTACTGATAGGACAAGGGGTAATTGGTTAAAACTTAAACAGGGGAAGTTTAGGTTAGATACAAGGAAGTTCTTTACTGTAAGGGTCGTGAGGCACTGGAATGGGCTGCCCAGGGAAGTTGTGAATGCTCCATCCCTGGCGGTGTCCAAGGCCGGGTTCGACAGAGCCTTGGGTGACATGGTTTACTGTGAGGTATCCCTGCCCATGGCAGGGGGGTTGGAACTTGATGATCTTAAGGTCCTTTCCAACCCTAAATGTTCTATGATTCCATGTCTCTAGGACTTTCCCATCCCATGTAAAGTTAAACTCTTTGGCATCCTCAGCTCCTGAAGCTTAAGGAGTGTTGTGTGTTTGGAGTAGGTTTTCAGTGATAATGTGTTAGCACTGATGACCCCAGAAATCCTATGAGCAGTTATGTTGCTGCTTGTTGTAGGAAATACTTGGTCGAAGTACATAGTTTGAGGACAATTCTGCAAATCTTTGTTGAAGTGTATCTTAACACTGGTAATTCAGCTTGTGTGAGGAAATCCTACAGGCCTTTGGTGATTTCAGACTGATTTGTAAAAACCGTTGCATCAGTACTCAACTCTTCCTACAACAATTTTTCATTTAAATACAGTTTTCCTGTCATGTAGAGATTGTATAGTCTGTTCTCTGCTACTTAAGTTGTAGAAGTTTACACTCCTGTATCCCCATTCTCCTTCCTTTCTCCTCACAGACTGTTACTGCACTTAACCCCATGTGTGGCAGTCGGTTTGGTTATGCTCTTTCTAATGGAACAGTCGGAGTTTACGAGAAGACAAACCGTTACTGGAGGATTAAGGTTAGTCTGGTGTTGGAATAGCATCACTTTCGCTTGAAGGCTGCTAGGAGGTTTGATACCTTATCTTGAGTTGTTCTGATGTTACCCTGACTCCTTTTGATGAATTCAAAATCTTCTGCTGAGCATAGAACTTAATGTAATTTTGGTGTTACAAAATTTGTATTTATGTCTAACTATAATTATACATACATGCAAAATTAATACTGTGTCAGTTTCTTCAGTGCTTTTGGGACTGCTGGCGATGGTTTAAACAGGCAGGGACACCTTCCACTAGACCAGGTTGCCAGGGAAGCTGTGGCTGCCCTATCCCTGGCAGTGTTCAGGGTCAGACTGGACAGGGCTTGGAGCAACCTGGTCTAGTGGACAGTGTCCCTGTGCATGGCAGGGATTGGAACAGGGTGATCTTCCAGGTCCTTTCCAACCTAAAGTAGTCCGTGATTAATGTGTTCTTTGTGTTTTCTCCTCAGTCTAAAAACCAAGCGATTAGCATACGTGCATTTGACCTGAACTCTGATGGTGTATCTGAGTTGATCACTGGCTGGTCCAATGGGAAGGTGAGTTTATACAGAGGTGAAATGAAGAGCTGTAAATCTGGAAGCTATGTCTGAACAAGGCTGTGAAATTATCTGAATGAAAACAGCCACAAAATTAAAAAGACTGTTGAAAACTGAGAACTATTGCAGTAAACCTGCTTTGGCTGGTGAATCCTGTGCCAAGTGCAAGATCAGAGAAAAGCTGATCTGCTTAGCTCAGATTCAGTGGTTAAGGTGTGGTAAGTTGTTTCTATGGCAGCAGATATCATATGCCACATCCAGGGGCTCCTGAGGGCCTCTTCAGCTGTCTTGAGGACATGCTAATAATCCTCTGGGATGTTTCCTCAGTGTTCTCAAACATTTTCAAACAAAGCATTTATGTAACAGGAGAGCAGCATCAGTCTTGACTGTGCAAGATTAATCAAGCATTATTTAATTTTATTTGAAGGCATTCTATACAGCTCTTAAGCCTGTTGCTTGATATTCCCCTTTGCCAGAAATGACTGTTCTAGCTGCCAAATCTCTCCTGGACACAGCTTGCCAGGTTGTTGTTTTTTTTTGTTTGTTTATTTGTTTTTTTGTAAAGCTATGCTTTACAACCTCTCCTCCACATCTCTCATTACTCTTATTAGCCTGGGGGAGTTTAATTAACTTCATATCAAGCCAGCAATCTAGAGCCCAGATATGTTGTAAACTTACGCTGGATTAGGTGTATAACATTGTTAAAGAGAGAAGCTCTCCTTCATTTACTCATTTTTCTGTTTTTTTTTTCCACTGGCAGGTTCTTTCCTGCTTCTTGTACTGAAACAGTCTTTAGCTCCTAGAAAGAGTAATGCTGGGTCCTGGGCTTTGTAAAAAGACAGCACAGAACTGAGCCCCCCCTCTTTCTTCTTTATTGAAAGATAATTAAAGATTGTGGTATTTGTGTATAAAAATAATTCACCACACAAGGTCTGCAGCTGAGAGGAAACATGGTAAATACTGCATCAAGCTTATTTCTGGTTTAGTCCCATCACTGCTGCATTCATGTGTACATAACCTTGCCAATGCAGACTAGCAGTCCTCTTCTTTGGTTCCTCTTGTTTACAACATAGGGAAGCATCTCTGAAGAGCAGCTCCTTCTAGCTGAGTCTGTCCGGAGGTCATGTCTTGATGGTATTTTATTTCACAATGTGGTGTTCTGATCAGTAGAGCTGCAAATTTACCTGCTGTTCTGTGAGCAGAGCTGGTTTTTGATTAACAGTTCAGGGTATGGCATGACATCTATTTTGGAGTTAGCTTTTCTATTCCTGATGTGTCTTGGAACTCTTTGTTCTTCCAGGTTGATGCACGCAATGACCGAACTGGGGAGGTCATCTTTAAGGACAACTTTGCTTCCTCAATTGCAGGAGTGGTGGAGGGGGATTACAGAATGGATGGGAGCAACCAGTTAATCTGCTGTTCAGTTGATGGTGAAAGTAAGAGTGCTGTTCAGGTTATTAATTTAATACACAATAATATCAGGCACATCACATTATCTCAGATTAGCTAAATGTTATTTCAGTTCCACAGGCATTTTTTCATGCTGAGTTTCTTTTGCTTTATGTTAAGAGAATTTTGAGTTATGCTTATCTGCAAACAGGATTTTGAATATTACCTTCCCTGTGATAATCAGTGTGAATTTCATTATGATTTAAGAAGCATCAGAATTCATTTGCCTAAAGCAAGAAGTCCCGTCCTAATAATGCAAAGATTAACTGCATTCAGTGCAGATTGTTATTCTTCAGGCAACATTATTATAGGTGAATGTATAGAGTATCTTCTTGCCTGTATGTGATGATTTTTTGGTTGCTTTACAGTGGTTAAAGGTGTTTAGAAAGCTAAGGAGCTGTGTGTGTTGTTTTTCTTCTAAACATGAATAGTTCTTCTGTGAGAAATTTTAGATGTTAACAGTGCTTTGCTCCCTGGAAAATGCTATCCTAAGACTGAAGAACCAGTGGGTTTATCCCACCATGCATTCAAGAAGTCAAACCTGGTTACTATGAGTAGGTACAAATATGATCACAGTTTATTTGAATAAGCTTAGCATGAATTTACAGGGATGGCCTCAGAAAAGACACTGGTGTGATTATCTGACTGCTTGGCGTCAGTGGGCTGAGACAAGTGGGTCTGGCACAGCCCATTTGGAACAAAAGCCTGTCCTTGTTAAATACCAGGGTGTTTTTCTGCCTGTCTTAATCACAGGCTGTGGGGATTTGCTGTGCTTGGGCTTCAGCATTATAAACCTTATTCCCAAGCTTACAGAAGGGGAATATTGTACTGCTCTGAAGAAACCTTGTCCTAGCAGAGCTGTGTATGTTAACATCACTGAACATGATCATCTTTTCTGATGAGTCTGTCATAAACAAACCTTGGAACATTGTGGATTCCTCTAGGCTGGAGCGTTTAGGTGTTACTAAATAGTAAAATAGTATTAAATAGTTGCTGGACTATGCATTCTCATAGTCCATGTCGTTAGAGTTCTGTTTGTGGCCAGCATCCTTCCACATGAGGTGTTCTTTTGTGTTTCTGTCTTGCTCTTGTTTTAAATGAATGATTCACTCAGAAGTAATAAAGCAGGTCCTTTCATTGGAGGAGAGTGTGCATGCTGAGTGCTTTTCAAGTTCCCTACAACTTTTTATGGGGCAGCAGCAGTCATATGCAGTCAGGCAGCATACTCTTTGCAGGCAAAATATGCTTGTCCCTCACTTTCATTGTCAGTTGCAGTCAGATCACACAGCCCTAGAGCAAAATAGAAGTTTATAGCAAGCTTTTTTGTCCCATCTGCTTGGCTCTTCTGTCTCCAGAGGCAGCTGGAAATATTTCCATAACTCTGCTCCACTGCGATACTTCCAGGCCTTACCCCTTGAAGTATACCTTGATTTGGGGAAAAACTAGTGTGGCTGACACCACTGGCTGACTGACAGTGACTTGAAGTCACTTCCAGACAGCAGCAACTCCTCTGACCAGGTCTAGAAATCCAGGTAAACGTTCTACTAATTTAGCATAATTGCAAACTTGTCTAAGCACCTGAAAGAATGATTGCAGTGGGAATCCTGTGGCAGAAGAACTGGGCTCTGCACTTGTCTGGTTGGGTGAAGACAGCTTAAAGGCAGGTTGGAAATACACCTGTTTTCAAATGTGCAGTTCCTTTGTTCTGATCATCTGGAAAGTCAGAGCCTCTGCGGGTGTAAATCACCACTCAGATTTTCAGCTGAAGATCAGAACCAGTGTTTGCTGCTGAGGTGGTACAAGGGGGTCTTGTTACAGAAATGAAAGATTTGGGAAAGCTGTGAAAAGCTTTGCTGAAATGAGCTCTTTTGTTTCTGTACAGTCCGAGGCTATCTGCCAGGAGGTGAGGAGATGAAAGGAAACCTAATGGATACAAGTGCTGAGCAGGATCTGATCCGAGAACTTAGTCAAAAGAAACAAAATCTGCTGCTGGAATTAAGAAATTATGAGGAAAGTGCAAAGGTACTATTTAAGCAAGATCTAGGGCCGAAACATACCTTCCTGTTGCTAGTAAATCAGGAGTAACCTGGGAAGTGGTTATGGGGCAGTCCAAACAAATCAGAGCTGTAACCTTTGGGGTGCAGCAAGATTGTCTGCTGTGGCTTTCTCCTTCTGCATTTGGCTTGCTCCTTGTGTGAGCTCAGAACTTGTTTTTTGTATTTTAGTAAGTAACATTTTCCTTGCTCCTTCATCCTGCCTGAGCAGTTGTGCTTGGGGCTGGATTCTGTCCAGCCCTGTGCTTTGGCTTATAGCTGGAAATTTTATTTTTAAATGCATAAGCCATCTCAGGAGCCAGAGGGGCTTGTGTGAGACGATCAGGTAATTGTGTGAGAACTGGCAGCGCTGTCAGGGTATGGAAAGCACACTTGTGCGTGATGGTGAAGGCACAGAAATAAAGAGCTTCAAAAAACAGTCTGTGGAAAGCACAAACATATTTGAATAGTAGAAGACCACCACAGCAAAAGCATGGAGTTAATCTTGCACCTAAAGTTGAATAGATGTTAAATGCTTTTCTGAGTAAAGGTTTGGGTACAGACCCTGATCTTCGTCGACAGTAAACCACTTGGAATAGATTACAATCAAGTGTCCACATCTCCATGCGTAATCCAGCTGCTGTATATAGCTGTGTGAAGTCTGGGAACTGCTGTAACACAACCTCCTGCAACGAAAGAGAACTCACTTACGTGAATGTTTTCTAGGTTGCTTGAGTGAAAATTTTGACATTTTGATACTGCAGGGTATATGTTTTGCAACAGGTCGAGCTGAACACTAAGAAAATAGATGGGCAGAGAGGTGTGATTCCAGCAAATACCCAACTCCAGACAGCCCTCTTGGTTAATCTGGGCTCTGACAGCCGGTCTGCCCATGTGGAGCTATGTATTTCCACCACAAATGGTGAGTGGTAACCTGCAACCATTGACATTCATTTCATGTGAATTCATGCAAACATTTAGTTATATTTAGCTGATGATTTGCCTGTCTCCCCTTTATTGTCTGTAGTATCCCCTTTGTGGCTGCTTTCCTTTCACAGAGTTTTGAGTCAAGCTGTGTTCTTTTGATGGGTCTAAGGGGAGAGGAGTTTGGTGGAATTTGTTTCTTGTTATGTGTTGTTTTCCAAGGCAATTAGCGTTTAACTTGGATGAAAGAGTCTTGGTGATCCCTGAAGTACTACTCCTTGTGTTGACTCTAAACAGTAACCCTGTGCTAGTGAGGGTACTGTATGAATGCAGCTGGACTTCAGCTGCCTTTACATGCAAAACTGGAACTACCCCAACATACCAAATTCATGTGGCACCACATGTGCTGAGGATGCAGTCAGGTCCAGATGTGACAATGCTGGTCACTTGGGTTACTCAGAGGAGGTGTGTAAAGAGTTGATTATGCTTAATACTGAAAATAGTTGTGGTTTGTTGCCAGAGGACAGCTTTTAATTTAGGAACTGCTTTTACTTCCTGTTGCTAAGACACAATCATCCGTGCTGTGCTGATCTTTGCTGAGGGCATATTTGAAGGAGAGAGCCATGTAGTACACCCCAGTCCCCAGAATCTCTCAGGCTGTATTCGTGTTCCCCTTACACCAGCCAAGGATGTTCCTGTGGATTTGCACATCAAAGCCTTTGTGGGTTACAGGAACAGGTGAGTTTTGTGTTGTGATCTCCCCTGGTTCAGAGCCAAGTGTGTGATCACAATGCAGCAATGATATGGCTTCATGCTTATCCAATGGGAAGTGCTCCTTTAATTCCCTGGTGCCCCATTTCTCTGTGTTACTGGAAGGAGAGCTTAAATGCTTTTTTAAAAATACTGTTGCACCTTTGATGCTGAGCTCTTCTCCAGACAAAGTCTAAATGCTCTGGAGTCACTGGGACCTGTTGTGCTCTGGCCCTGCCTTTAGGGGAACAGCGAGCAATTGTTGGGCGGGGGGGGGCATGCTTTGTTGTGGGTCTCTGGAGGGAGGAGAGGCAGAAGCTGTGTCCAGGCTGCCTGCTTGCAGTGGCTGCCTTTCCATGCCCCAAGTGGTGGCTTCTCTGTGGGAAGTACTTGAGCAAGCCTGGAGACACAGTGGTGTCTTTCAAGCTACAAAGTAACTTGTTTTCAGAGCAAATGGGAAGTACCATAGGCTTGATTTCAAGCCCGGACTTTGCCAGTTTTCCGTAGAAATAAAATGACTCTTCACATGCACTTGGAAACAACTTGTCCCTGCTCACATCTGCTGGACCTGGCAGTGCCCTAGGAAGCTGCATCCTTTCTCTGAACCGGGAGGCATATTTTGAGAGCTAGCCAGCCACTGCAGAAAGAACCCATGGGACTGAATTATAGTTTATTTTCTCTATCTGTTTTTATTATTTCCTTTAGTAAAAGACTTCACTGAACCTGTAAAGAAAATATCCAGTCACATTGTAAAATCATAAATGTGTTAGCCTAGAGAGTGTATTTCATTGGAAGGATTATGGAAAGTGTAAGCAATGGGGATGAGTTTTTTAACCTTATCACCTGATGTGATAAGCCTGGAATTTCCAAGTTCCAGTGTTTTTTTTTTTTTCCCCTGGGAAATGGTAGGCAGCCAATTACGTAGCTTAAAGCTTCTGATGTCAGTAGCCAGCTAGGAGGAATCAGGAGCTCTTGCAATAGGTGAATCTCTGGTATGTCAGTAACTGTCTGTTTTCCGTTTGGATTGCTTCCAGCACACAGTTCCATGTATTTGAGTCGACAAGACAGCTTCCCCGCTTCTCAATGTATGCCCTGAGCAGCCCAGACTCAGCCGCAGAGCCCCTGAGCTTTCTTAACTGTACGATGAGCGAGAGGCCACAAAGGGTGAGTTTCTGCCCTGTTTCCTGTTTTCAAATACTGAGGAGGTGGGGGGTTTGCCATTAGCTTGAGATTTCCAATAGCAAAGGAAAAAATTGTGCAATGAACTGCACTGCTGGCCTTTAGAGTTTGTGTATTACAATTTGTCTCGATGCTTTTTCTTCCTTGTTTAAAAGATGTCTCAATTGAGACATTCCCTGCTTCAGAAGTTCCTACAGGAACTAATGGCCTGAGACCATGAGGTGTTTCAGAAATTAATCTTGTTTGCTGTGTGACAGCTGATGGAATGCCAGTGGCAGGAGCCCTGTAGTGAGTGAGGAATTCTGTAAGTGAGCAGAGAGCTGGAAAAAGGCAGTACAGTGCCCAGATAATCGCTCACTTTCACAGCAGATGAGCAGCAGTGCTGTAGCTTTGGTTCTGAAGGATCTGAATTGCAGGATGGCAGTAATTGGAGCTAGTAATTTCCCTCATAACTATAGGGCTCTGCCATTTTTACATGACCCTTATTGCATTAAATGCTCAAAGCAAAAACAAGATGAAACTTCTCTTCAACTTCTTGCAGTAGAACCAAGCCTTGCTTCCCAGCTTTCTCCAGTCTCCAGGCCTGGGCTCATGTTTTGACACTGGGCTGTGATCTCTGGTTGTTGGATTTGATTTTTTTTTTTTTTAGGAATATTCAGCTTTGGAGCAAGGATTCAGCTGTTCTTATTCTAAAAATGGATTTAGGAGATGAAACTTAGTAAATTAAATTTCTAAGGCACTCTGAACAGAATGCCCTGGTGTACATCATATGCAGAGGTAGTGCATGGTTCTCCAGGCTCTCCACACAGATAATGGCTGATGCTCTTCATAATTTTTTTGCAAGATTGTTATGTGGCTGAATCAGAGCTTCTTGCTACCGGAGGATGTGGAATTTCAGAGCGTTCCCTTTCAGGTTTGCTTCACTTCCCTTCGTAATGCAGGCCAGCTCTGCATCAAAATCAAGCCTGGCGGAGAGGTGAGTACCTTCATGAACAAGGGGAACGCCCGTTTAATTATCTTCCAGTGAAACTTAAGGGTGGTGCCAGTATGAGGCAGTAAAAATTAAGGATGACTGAACAGGCAGAGAAAGTACTAATGATTTAGGGATGCTTTTGGAAACTTTTGGGTCTATTTACTCTTAGTTGGCAAAATTCCAGGGCCTGTTAATGAAGAAAGATGCTTAGCCTACACATCTGTAGGCTATTTGTTCACACACAGAGTGGTTTCAGGGAGTGGTTTCAGGGAGCCATAATTTGAGGCACAAAAGCTGCGTGTAACTTCTGCAATGGTCTTGTATGCACAGATGCCTCTTTGGCCCAGGCTTGGATAAATGCTCCTTTCAATTCAGTGTCTCCTTGTGTACTGAAAGCCCTTGAGCTTTCTCATGCAGCAGTTTTGCCTCTTGATAGAGTGAACTGCTTTGAGCCTGGGTTTGAGAGGCAGTCCTGCTGGGCAGTTCTGGGAGATACTTTGGCATTGAAGAGCGCTGAAGTGCTTTCTTTCCTTTCTGACAGATTTCCATCCATACGGATGATATTGATCTAGCTGGTGATATTATCCAGTCCATGGCCTCCTTTTTGGCCATTGAAGACCTGCAGGTGGAAGCAGATTTCCCTGCCTACTTTGAGGAACTGCGAAAGGTGTTGGTCAAGGTGAGGAGGTATCAGGCATTTCTAAATTGGCAGCCAAGCAGCCACTGGGGATGTTTTTATGAGAGGATCTCTAAACTGCTCTGTCTTCATGGAAATCGGCCAGCTAAGGCTTGCTGTATATTCTGTGCCAAGGACAATGGGGCACCCTCTGCTTTCTGTTTATTCAGGCCCTTGGTCATCAGCAGTTGATCACTTAGTGTAAAATGTTTGGGAGACTGAGCTATGAATTTGAGTGCGGGCATAAGGTGTGTATATCTCAGTCTGATCACCCCAAGGTACTGTTCTGGCAGGCAGGGAGGTTAAGGCAAGAAGAATGGTCCCAGGGATGTTGGTAGCTTAAGTTAGGATGTTATTTCCTAATACACTTGGCCAAGGTTTAGCTTGAACTATTACCCATATGTCCAGAGTGCCAGGGGCCCTTTCTGCTGACTGTTTGCATTGTACAGGTGGATGAACACCATGCTGTGAACCAGAGGCTCACTGCCGACATGGCTGAACACTCCAGACTCATCCGCAGCATGCTGCTTCAAGCAGAAGATGCACGATGCCTGGGGGACATGTGAGCAATTGCTGCTTACCTTGTGTGTGTTTTGGGTTTAGAACAGCCAGTCTTTGCTTTTCAGGCAGAAAAGAACAAAAACCCCATTTGTGTAATACAAGGGTTGCCTAGTTACAACTCTGCAGAACTGGTTCCTTTGCTGGTCCCGCATGAGCTCCCCTTGAGCCTTGTCTTGTTCTTCAGGTGGAAAACCAGTCTGGGGAAGGCAAAAGGGCAAGGGTAGGGGCTTAGCATAGAGCCCATTGTGTCAATCAGCCTTGGGATGGTGAGATACATTAGAAAGATATACTGAGGGAAGAAGGCAGTAAAAGCTGTCTGTGGTGTATGAACTTTTGAGAACACCAAGAAAGAAATTTTAGGTGTCTTTTCACTCCAGGTTGCTGTGTTATGCAAATGTCCTATCTTTACTGTCAAGAGAGGTCTGAGCAGGGCAGTGCCACTTTCACTGGGGAAAGTGGCATCTCCTCTTTGTGTTGCCTTATGAAGTAACTGAAAAACTAAGAGTAAAAAATAAGTATAACCAACATGTGTAGACAAGCCTGTTGACTTATAGCTGGCTGACATGCGGGTAACCATGGTAGCCGTTGCAACCATGTATTGCTACACCTTTATATTGACAAACCAGGAATGACTTTCTTGTCCCCAGAGATGCAAATAACTGGACTGATTGTTTCCCCTCCAGGAAAAACATGAAGACACGTTACATCGAGCTGTATGATCTTAACAGAGATTTAATAAGTCAATACAAAATACGTTGCAACAATCACACAGAGCTGCTGAATAACCTGAAAGCTGTGAATCAGGCAATCCAGAGGGCTGGGCAGTTACGTGGTAAGTGTGTGTGTGAGTTTGAAGGGAACGTGGACTCTGGGACCATAGTGAGGCAGATAAGATGGATTTGGAGGCCACCTGGGTTAGTTAAGTGGCTTCAGGGTTGTTAGCCTGAAAATAAATCAGTAGAAGTAATCTTTCATTTTTCAGGCCTAGCCAATTGCCTGTAACAGTCAACTGTGAGTGCCCAGTATCATCTGAGATCATGATTTTAGAACAGTGCAAAGCGGTTTCTAGCTTTCTGGATGGTACAAAAATTGCTAGTTTTGTTGAACACAATTTTAAAAGCACTTTTTAAAGTGTTTTTAAGTTCTTGTTTTTATTAAGCAACATTATAAATTAACTGTCAAGTGGGGCTGTTTGTCTGTATTACTAGCTCTGTAGGTCTTTGGGGAAGGAGGTATGTTTTTGTCTATTTATGGCATTCCCTTTTCAACAAGTCCTTTAAGCTCTCCTAAAATAGAGCTACAGACAATTCTTCAAGGAAAGGATTTTATTTATGCACTAGAAAAAATGTGTGTGTTTAAAAAATATTTGAAAGAATCCCCTAAATCTTGAGAGATGTGATCAAATTAGTATTTTTACTAACTGAAGCTTTTTTCTTTTTTTTTTTTTCCTCTTTACAGTTGGCAAACCTAAAGCACAAGTGATCAGTGCTTGTCGGGATGCAATAAGAAGCAACAACTTTCATACACTGTTCAGGATAATGCGTGTGGGAGCAGCCCCTTTGTGAGAAGAGAAGCAGGACTTGCACAGAGGCAGCGTTTGCAGGCAGATAACAGACCAGGAACAATAAACAATTTAGTCTCCTACTCTCTAGCATGAACTCATTGCAAAGGTAGCATTGTAGTTAAGCTATCAGGTGCGATGTTATTACACAAGTCAAAGCTTCGTGAAGGAAGCATTAGTTTAAGTGTAGATGTGATATTTATGCAAGACAGGTATAACTTCAGTTATTTTTCTTACAGTAACTTATTTATGTATTTTAATATATTTTGTAGTTAAGGCATTGTCCTTTTTCCATTAAAACATAGATTGGTTTGATAACTTTTGTTCTGATTTAGCTGGGAGAGATGCATGTGGTTAAGTTTATTTGCTGGAAAGATCCAAGCATTTCTGGTTTTGCTGTAATGGTCTCTGCATACTAAGCACGTAAACACTCTGTGCTGGAGAGTCCTGCTTGTCATTGCACGGAAGTGCTGTTTTCTGTGTAAATTTTAATGCAGTGCGCTAGAAGCACCAAAGAGTAACATCTCCTTGCTGGCTTTTAAGCCAGGTCTTTGAAAGCCGTCTGGTTCCACACAGGTAAGACGTAGTCTGTTTCATAAACAGCACTCTCCATACACCTGGATTGCAGGAGGTTTTTCTTTAGCTACTGTTTTTGTGCTACTGTTTTTGTGCTGTTGGAAAAAAAAGCCCTGCATATACTGAGGTGGGTGAGGATGCGTTTCAGGAGCAACAAAACCAAACTACACACCGAACCTTGGTGCGTAATTCTGAAGAGCTGCCAGTACATAATGGAGAAGGTATTGAAAATTGTCTTGGCTCCTGGCCCAAACTTGTTTATTACTTGTGGGATCTCTTAGAATTGGATTACAACATTACAATAAGGCACTTAAAGATATTTTAGAACCTTTGCCAAAGTAACTTTCTTCTAGAAGCTAAAAATATCTTGCAGTGGATGGAGGTTGGGCCCGAGTGCTCCTCGTTCCTGCACCATTGATCACATCTGTTGCTGTATGGATTGGTGTTTGTGATGTGGGCAGGGAGGAGGTGGTCCTCCTCTGTGAAGTTCTGGGGTAGCTTCTTGGGGCTGTCAGGAATATGTGCATCCTGTACCTGGTCTCTTACTTGCCACTACCAAATTCAAGCCAGCAGCCCACTATTTGTTACAGAGCCACCTGTGAGCATGCAACCGGTTGGATGGGGAGTGCAAATCTTGCAGGGTGTTTTAATCCCTAAAGTGGGCACTTGCCACTGCTTCAACCCCTTCAGTATGGAGAGCTGGGCTGCCAAAAGCACAGACCTCTGTCACTTCAGATCTGCAGCAGAAACACATCTGAATCCTTTTAAGAACCTGGTGGTTAGTCAAATCCAGCTCCTTGGTAAAAGTGTGGTGAGCCACCCAGGCTGTTCTAAGCAAGTGAGTTGATTATGGAACAGTCTCCTGGCAAAAGGGCTGGGCTTTCTGCCACCTGCTCCCTGTTCCCACTGTTTCAGCCCCTTGTTCTTTATGTTCAAAATACTAATGCTTGCTTACTTACATTTACGTAGTCCATTTGATGATAAGAGAGTGGCTCTGATCTGAAAGCAGCTTTCTCATCAGCCAGATTTTCAGGGCAATGCACCAGGCACTTCAGTCTCAGCTCTGTTTTGCTCTTGGCAGTGAGGTCAGTCCTTCGGTCACAGTCCAGACCTCTGATAAGACTGACTTCCCCCGGCTAAATTTGACAACAATCATAAAAACAACTTTTATCATTGCCAGATGTAAAATCCACATCACATAAGCTGAAGTGCTGCCAGCTTTGCAGTTGCTGTTGAAACAAAGCAACCCTTGGCTGGCATGCAGCAGCCAACTAACATGGCCATGGTTGGCCAGGGCTTGGAGCGACCTGGTCTACTAGGAGGTTTCCCTGTCTGTGGCAGGGGATTGGAACTGGGTGAGCTTTAAGGACCCTTCCAACACAAACCACTCTGTGGTTTTATGATGAGATGAACCTGCAGCAGATCAATGGCAAACAGTCCCCACTGGTAGGATTCACCTCAGGACTAATGCCTAGTCATCCTGTTCTCAGGTGGAACTTGCCACAGCAGGTTAAGCTGCTCGTCAAGTACAGAATAACTACTGAAACCACACTAATAGAGCTGCATGTTCCTGAAAATACAGGGGCAGAGCTGGTTACATGGCACAACACCTTGGTACATGTGCTGGGGACTGGGTCTAGACCACTACCCTGCTCTGCTGGGGCACTTCAGTGCCTGCCTGAAACTTATGTCTTGGCTGGAGTCTTCCTCATATGGTCCCTTTGCTGCCGGGGAAGGGCGCTGCAGGAGTACCTGGAGTGCGCTGGAGAGGGATCTGCAGAGCAGTGGTTTTCAGTGTCCTAATTCAAGTTCCAGTTTGGAGTTTATAAAACCAAAACAATTGGAACTGACACTTGACAACAGGTTATCTGATTTTAGTCCTTGTTTCTCCAAGTCCCGTGGACAGCTGCTCATCTTAATTGCTACTATATATCTGATGTGACTGGATCACTGAATACCCAATGTCAGAACTTCTTTATTGCATGTTTATGAATGTGGAAACCATTCCTTCAATCTGGTCTACAGCTACACTGTCTTATCTCCCTCCATACTGAAGTGTTCTCTTCTTCACCTTCTTGGTAAACTGACAACGACCAAATCCCTAAATACTTGTTGGGAAGTACTTGAACAACTTGGCACTTCAGTAACCAAAAGCTGCTGGTACCCTGCATCAAATGCCATCTTTGGAGGTGCATTCAGCTGGTGAGAAATGTGCATCCTCAAATGATCAATGTCTGCATGAGGCCATCTTGCCTGGTATTAAGTTTTTGTTCTCTGTTGCTTATGCTTCGTAACTGTTCACTTGCTGCTCTCCATCCTATTTTTCTGTGTTGTCCTGCTTACTCATTTTGTGGGTAAGGATATATTTCATATACATATTCCTTTCCATAATAATCAGACTACTCTGCCCATAGCTACACCTAATCGTAAATGCAGATTTGTATCCAGCAAGAGCAGCTGGAGAGAGGGCATGCAGTATTGGTGTGGTCTAAATGAAGGCGTGTCTTTCCCCAGCAGCAAGTATCATTTGAAATTCCAGTGAGTGGAGTCTTTCCCCTCTGGCTACAGCACTAGTCATGTGTGGGGCTGCCTTTGGACCTGACAGGAAGGGTGAGAGAGTAGAGATGTGGTGATTCTTTTAAAACTTTTGACTGCTAACTGCAAATTTGGCTTCTTAAATGTCTTCATCTCAGTCACCAGAGGCAGAAGGGTGGTTCCTTGTGTGATCAGATAGATCCATGCTTGCTCAAGTAGAGGCTGGTATGCCCTCTAGTGTGGTTTTTATTATTAAAAAGCAGCAAACTTCAGAAAGCCGAGCTTCTTCCCAGTCTTCTGGGAGGCTGTTCCAAGACCTACCAAGCACACTCAGGTTCATAATGCAACATGTTAAGTAACTTCATTTCATTAATTTACTCCTGACTTTGCCTGGTCAGCTATGCTGTGAATATCTGTGGTATCTGTTACCTTTGTCCAGAACAACAAAAAAAAAATCTGCCTTTATTTTTCCTCTTTGAATCCTCCATTACTTGCCTGTTTCCAGTGTAGCAGCTCACACTAAGAACTATTGTCCCCAGGAAGAGCTGCTGCCCTGGTAAGCAGCAGAGTGCTTCAGAAACCAGTACTTAACAGTAGAAGGTTGTTCTTTTATCTTCATAAAGGCATGCCCAAAGTACATCCTGTTCTGTGGAAGGTGCAGGGTGCCCAGGGACAACAGTCTCCTGCCCTTACTGCTCCTCTGTTGCCAGCTGTGGTCTTACACAGCTGCAGTGGTATTCAACAACAGGCCTGGGATAGGAGGAGCAGCAAACTGTAATCCACATCTACCCTCTCCCTACCCAGGAGAGGCAGGAGAAGTGAAATGTGCTTGCTGCAAACCTGTAGCATGCACTGCATGGCCTGGGTGAGCTGAAAGTACACCTGTGGCTGGTCACTGCCAAAGAAAGTTAACAGGCAAGCCCCTGCAGGCTGAGCCAAGCCCCTGCAGGCTGAGCCAAGCCCCTGCAGGCTGAGCCAAGCCCCCAGCAGCATGTTCTACAGTCTGTTGCCTTCTGCAGTGACTAGCCCAGCTCTACAATAGCACCTCTGATGGGCTGGGCACCTTCACAGTGAGTCTGATATGGTGCTGTGGCAAGGGCATGTGGCATGGGAGAACACTGAAAGCATGTGCTGGGGTGAGTCACTGCACCAAGGCCACTGCCTTTCTTGTGCTGTTTAACCACAGGACCTGGGCATCTGCCACCTGGAAAGATCTCAGCTGATTCCCATCGAGAAAAGCCACATTGGAGACCAGCAGACCCTGGGAGAGAACAAAGACCATGCAAGGCTGTGCAGTTGGTGACCCTTGTACAAGGCAGGAAGAGGTGACTGCCTTCCTGCTACCAGCCCCCAGTCCTATTCTGAGGCTGGAGACACAACCCTTCACACATGAAGCACAGCATTATCCAGGTACCCACACAAGGAGAATAAGCAGGAGCAGCTCTCATCTTCTATTTTAGCTTGTAAATTCTTCGGAGAAAGGGCTGCATATGGGTCTGTCTGCCCAGCATTTAGCATAGTAAAGTCCTGCTCCTTGTTACAGTGCCAGGTCCTTTGCAGTATCAGCAGCTTCACAGCCTTTCTTCCCAACTTCACAGAGTTGTGCAGCTAGAAAAACCTACTTCCCATAGCAGCTCCTTTGTTTCTGCCTGTACAAACTGAACACAGCTAAACCCCAGAAAACATCTTGGGCCTTTTGTAACAAAACCTGCCCAACCAGTGTTTGAAGCATTTAACTGACCCATTTCCTTTCTTTTTTTAATAAAATCAGTCATCAGCCTGGGGCAATGTACAGTTGTAATTTTTAGGTTACATACACACCAAACTGCTGTTTCCATGAGAGAACGGCTGGAAAGCTGACAGCTATGTCACACCGACCCCCCTCCACACAGCATTAAAAGCAGTTGGGTGTTGTTAGAAGGCTGGGTTTCCATTTGTACAACTGAAGTCACCTAGACCCTATGTGGTAGGGTACAGCTTGTATACAGTCTGATGAAGCTGGCATCAGTGAAGTCTGCCTGGGCTTTGAGAGATCCCAGCTGAATGCCTGGACAGAAACCTGCCCCCAAGCCCCCATGTTCTCTGGTCACACTCTGCACCATTACTCGTAATAGATGAAGGAAAAATCCCAAAATCCTGTTCTGTTTGGGTGCTTGTTCAGGCGTGCCAAGCTACGGTGATTGATGTACTTCACAAACTTCATAGTT